TTTTTTTTCTATTTATAAACATAACAAGATACAAGAATTATAAAAATCAACAGGACTTTCAAGTTTTACCCATACAAAATCATTCATATAATGATAAATTCAGAGATATTTCATACAAGTTTTTCATGTATACAATCATTAGTAAAGATGAATGATTGTCAATATCTGATAAACACATCTATAAATTAATTTTTTTTTATTTTTACAATAGAATTATCATTTACTTCTATGTCAAATAATAATTATCTTAAATGGAAACTAAATTTTTCTATCGTTGCTGGAGGAAATGGCTATGGAAATGATTTAAATCAAATTAGTTTAACTCGAGGAATCTATATTGATGATGATGAACAGACGATTTATATTGCTCAATATAACAGTGATCGGATTATTGGATGGAAATTTGGTGAAGAAAGTGGTAAAATCGTTGCTGGTGGAAAAGGACAAGGAGATCATTTAGATCAATTAAACAATCCATCAGACGTAACTGTTGATAAAAAAAATGATTTACTCATTATTTGTGACCAAGGAAACAAACGTGTAGTACAATGGTCTCGTCGAAATCAAACAGATCCAAAAATAATTATCTCGAAAATTGAATGTAACGGTGTAACAATCGATATTGATGGAGATATTTATGTTTCAGAAGGAGAGAACCATACTGTTATACAATTGAAACAAGGAGAAGCACAGGCAACAATTGTAGCTGGTGGAAATGAATGTGGATATGAACCAAATCAACTAAATAATCCTACTTACATTTTTGTTGACGAACAATATTCGATTTATGTATCTGATCATGAATATGGTCGTGTCACAAAATGGATAAAAAATGCAAAAGAAGGAATTATTGTTGCCAAGAAACAAATTCCAGATCCTATTCCACAACCGTCGTTTTATTCATTCGGAATGGCTGTCGATTATTTTGGTAATGTATATGTGTCAGACACTCACGATAGGCGAATAGTGCGCTGGCTAAAAGGGTCTAAAGATTGTTACACTATTATGAATGGAGATAGTGATGAACGACCACTAGAGCCGTTCAATACACCCGCAGCTATATCATTAGATCGAGAAGGGAATCTGTATGTCTTTGATAATCAGAAGAATCAAATAATAAAGTTTGATGTTGATCTTAATTAAAATTATTATTTTTCATCAAATGAATTTTAATGTAACAATCTGCTTTTTTGTCATTTTTTTCCTTTTCATCTTATTTAAAAATAAATCATTTTATAATTGAACTCTTTTGACTTATTTTTTCTTGACATGTCTAGAATCTTTGAAGATATTTTCATCGACTATTATAATCGTCTGTTATAGATCGTATATAATTGAGCTGTTTAAACGAATCATTTTAGATGAGAATATATTTTCAAGTTTTGTTTCGATTTGAACTTGAGCCGAATTTGTTGATTTCTATTCATCACTTAATAGATGAACAAATCTATTTATACATAAATCTCTAAATACTTACCTATTATTATTGTTTTCTCATGTCTTCTTTGTCTTCAATAATAATAAATATGAACAATGTGATATTCTTATGCATATTGTCAAGATGAATTATCAGTACAAGAGAATAATTACAGACAAACGGATGATAGAGTTCTATCACAAGTAGAGAATAGTTCATACAAAATTTCTTTTATTACTATCCATGAAAGAGAAATAAATCACTGTGATAGAATGAATGACTTTGAGTATGAGATAAAGAGTGTATCATTTATCTCTTATGTATGTCTATATTGAAATTCAACTATTAATAATCACAAACCGTAATAACAATTCACTTATAATTTGTTTTATATTATTATTTAAGTTTAGAAAACTACTTTAATGTAATAATATATGAAAAACATAATATTTCGTGATTATTTTTTTTCTTGTATTATCACTTATAGGTTGAAAATGATTGTATAAAATCGAAAATTTTCTATTTATATTAAAAACTCTCAAGAGAATAATATTATTCGTATATAGATCTATTGATATCATATCTTCGTTTGAAGATCAATCAATAGTCTACCCATTATTTTCGGTAAGATTCATCGTATTCACTTTGATTGTTAACGTTAATTAATATTAGAATTTCAAATAATCAAGTACGTATAAAATTCATCAAATTCAAATTTATTTTATTTAAAAGAAAAGAATAAAAGTTAATAATATTAACATAGGTACATTCGACTATTGACTTAAAGAATATATTCTGCACGTTTATATTCGAAAGTGATGGTGGAATGAGGAAACGTATACAATGTCCATATAGATCGAGAAGATTTGTACGTCATATTGATGTACTGGGAAAAGCGCTCGAGTGGATGGCATCTCACGGTACTTCAGATTCAGTAGCAGTATATAATAAAGAGGAACTAACATGCTTCGCTCAATTTCCAGAAAGTTTTTAAGTATCCGAGCGATATTACTTTGGAAGGTCATGTTGACAAAAAAAAGATGAGAGCCGAAGAAGGAAGAGAAGAATGGTAACTATGAAAATAAGAGGAAAAAAGAACAATAACAGCTTTAAATGAGTAACACTCCATGTACGCATGCTTGATAACCGTGCTTCTCCCGTTCTTACTTGCATTTTCCTTCTCTCTCTTTGCTCTTGCTTTCACAAGCTGCTTCAAGTTTGCTAGCTAAACTGTTCCTCTAGGACAGACATGATCAGAGGGTCTTTTCAAATCGATAAAAAAATGTTATTTTTATTTTGAGAAGAAATTAATTTTTCTTATAATAGAAACAAATTCGTGTCTGTATGTTCTTGAAGGTAAAATAAATAAAATAATAATAAGTAGAGGTGGAATAAATGAAATATAATATCCAGTTAAATATAACCATGGATTACGTATTGATTCCATACATCCAGATAAAAATGAAATAATTAAACGAGGAATAGATAATAATGTTAAAATACATGGTGATATAAGAAGATGTTTATTTTGTTGAATTTGAACACAAAGAAGTTTTTTATATGTAGATTTTTTCTTTGTTTTTAAACGCATTCGAAATACTAGAATCGTAATACATATAGCAGAGAATATATTAATTATAAATGGTATTAAAACATGAAATATATTTATAAATTTATCATATTTTTTAAAATTTGTTGAATATTCAAGAATACACCATGTTCTTTGTTCATCATCAATATCATCAATTGTTCGACGAGATATTGGATCATGAA